AAGAATCCCTTTTTCTCTTCATATGTCCTCTGATAATGTGATGTGTAAGGAGTCACTACTTCAATATCAGCAAGAGCTTCTGTCTGCAAATTTGAGTGACCTCAGCAGTATTAAAAGATTAAATTATTATATAAGTCAATTCTCCTTAACCACTTTTTCCAATGAGATAGGTGTCAAAATAGCTTCTGCTGCACATCATTCACTGTCTCATCCCTTATTGGATGAAATATATGTGTATATATGTATTTTCAGGCCTTCCCTTGGTCCAGGGATGACTAGGTGTTAACATTGTACATGAGCCAATATTTTCTCATATGGGCATAGCCTAATAGTTATTACTTCCAAAGCTCCAACATTACCTGCTGTACATCAGCCAAAATGCTAACATCAGAATTTACAGGCTGTGGCCCTCTACTTTGCTAGCTTGAAATCACCTAGAAAGTCTCACTGATTCACTCATGAAGAATGACAGAATTATCAGCCCTGCAGAACTAATTGTTAAGTGCCTGGCAGTCAATTCTTGGATACAAGAATCCTATTTTTGCCTAGATTTTTTATTTTAATTTCTCTAAAGTGGATTGTAGGACCTTATGTCTGGAAAGAATTTTCTGGGCACTCCAGACAGTACTTCATATAATCCTCATCAAGGGCACTAATGGATTTATTCCTTTGTCAGCAGCATCAGTGCACATGTTTGGTTGTGGAACAGAAGCTCCACGTTTGCTCAGATGGGAGCTGGGGACCACAGAAGAGTCTGGCTGCCTTGTTTTCATCACTTGCAGAGTCACATCCTGCCACCAGGCAGCCTGTTCCAGCTTTTGAATTTCAGCTTTCACTGAAATTTACCTGAGAATCTGAAGGGTGTACATTCAACTTCCAAAGAATGAAGGAAAGCCATATAGCTAAACCAGAAATTAAAATTTAAATGATACAAAATATATTTGAAATCATTCTTCTGTGCTGCCTTGATGAAAGTCAGGAACAGGCACAGATATTAAGGAATTTAGACAATATAGCTTTGAATAATTTATTTAACATTTCAGAAGACAATCCGTCAGGAAAAGCAAGATCACTGAGTGGGTGGCCAGCCACACTGGATTTATCCCAGAGAAATAGTTCATCATCTCAGCATCTGCCTGCCATCCACAGAGAGGTTGGAGAGCAAGGGTTCAGCTGGGAGGCTTTTCCAGTGAGAGAGATGATAAGCTGTTTCAGGCTACACAAAGTAGCATCTGGCCTCCACGCACTTAAAAATAATGTGTTTTGACTAGTGTGTCTTATTTGATAGGCTATCATGTCATGTGCTGGCACTAACAGGAGATGTGAACAATATGAAATGTCATGTTAGGCTAAAGATGAAAAAAATGCTGCAGAAATGCAAAAGATGTTGGCTCCATCAAAGTGACTTTTTTGATCAGAAAACTGCTTCAAGAAAAAGATTTTTGAATACAATTGATCTGGAGGGTGAGGGTGTATCTCTTTTTTGAAATAAAAAGGACAAGCATTTTGGGAAACATGGCAGGAATTTCTTTTGTCCAGAGATAGGAGAGACTGACCCAGTCAGTCCAGTTTTTACCTCTAGTTTTTACCACTGGCTTCTGCCTCAAATCCTGTCCCTCACAAAAAGGTACAAGTCTGTCCTTCTGGCACAAATAAAACTTTCCCACATTGTTGCCAATAAGAATGCAGCAAGTCTAGTGTGTGAGGAGGAGCTACTGAATTTAACATTGCTGAAACCTGAGTAACTTTGAATTTGGTCTGTGTCATTGCTTTATGCATACAGATCTGCTGTGCTTGGGAAAAAGTGGATTTGTATTTAGCTCAGCTCTCTGCAGGTGTGAGGTTGGTGTGGTAGAGGGGCTGCTTAGGGTAGTGATACTGTAGTTTGATTAATACAAATTGCATCCAATACTGAATTGATAAATAAGCCAAAGTTTTTATAAGGATGGAAGTCTTAATTTATTTAATTTAGGTTTAATTTTTTTAAGATTATGTACAGTTCTTGTTTGCTTCATAACCTCAGCATGTTTTTTATTTATATCCTCTCTTTTTAGAATCAGTTTATGGTTCTTGTTTCATGGTGATGTAAACCTTTAATTCTGAAGAATTAGTATCTCATCAAAAGCTGGATTGCTGAAAAGTGCTCAGGTCCTTCCAGAAATGGGAGCAGTCAGTTTGAACATGAAGAGACTTTTAAAGCATGCCTGGGTCTCTACATTGGCTCTGAAAAGATGGATTTTGTAATGAGAAAAATAACCTGTTTTGAGGCAGGGAAATATTTTTTGTGCGTTCAAAATGTGCTGGGAGGGGGAACTCCTCAGTCTGAACAAAATGATGTTTTTATTGTGGTCTGTATTTTGAATAACTTAAACAGCAGATCAAACTTAAAATGCATTTTTCGGCTTCTCTGCCTTTATATAAATCCCTGACTTTTGGAGGAGTCATCAGTCAAAATGAGATACAGGTAATTTGTGTCTTAACTTTTGTGGGATCTTCTGGGACAGGTGACAAGTGTTCCTGTATGAAGTGTTTACTCTGAAGTGTTTATCCTAGAATGGTAGCAAAGCTTGGCCCATCTTATTTTAGATTCAGTAAAGCATTTTCTATCACATTATGCTCAGAGGTGTAATTACAAGTTCTGCATGATCTTAGATTTACTTTAAAGTGTGCTAGAGACCTTATTAAAGAAAACATGGTTTCTCCCCACATGATTGCCAGCCCTACAGCCTTCACACAGTGAGAGCATCTGCATGTCCAGATAGGTCCTGGTCCCCCTGTCAAGTCCCAGAGTAGCCTGTCCTGAAAGTTACGATTTCACTCCATTTTGAAGTGTGCCTTTACAAAAAAAAATTAAACCAAAGGATTTCATACCATTTTAACCACACAGCTGGCTGATCTGAGAGAGGAGGGATTCTGGCACTGAGTGGTGGTGCACAGACATGGCAGAGATACCTCAGTACCTGAGAAGGAACGACCAGGGATACACACACACACGTGCATGTGCACACAGAGCAGTCTCCTGTTCTTCAGAGAGGGAGCAAACTTCCTCTGGCAATGGAGGGTTTGAAGGAAATGGCATTATGTTTTCCACTATAGAAAAAAAAAAAGTATGTTAATAAGGATCCCATACTTCTTGCTGCAGTTTTCCTGGACAGCATTAGATTTGAATGTGGGCCATAGCAGAGGTCAAGCACACCCAGAGCCCATCAGGCACAGTGCACAGGTGATCCCTGCATGGGTATGGAGTCCCACAGGTCCTGAGCACATCGACATCTGTGTGTGTGCCATGGGCACTGATAGCTGACACATCACACACGTTTATTCTGTCTGGGAGGATTTCCAGGGCATAAAGGAATATGCATGAAGGGGTGATAACTCTGTGGATGTATTTCATGTGTTGGTAACCAGTGTCTCACTTAGAGGGTGATAGGTAGCCAAAAATGTTTCGTGCCAGACCAAATGGACCCCTTGTCTTCCCACCTTTTTCCTGTAGCAAAAATTCCTGGGCAAGCTGTCAAAGGAGGTTGTACCACACCTCTAACCTGCCTCCTGTCAGCACATCCTGTCTGTGCTGTCCCAGAGACAGCTGTCAGCCCCCAGCCCAGGAATCCTCCTGCATGGTCCCTGGAGCCTCCACCAACCTCCCAGGTATCCCAGTGTGAGCAGGGAGAGGCACACGGGCTTGTGTTCAGTGTATTTGGAAAGCTGCAACATGGACCATAGTGCATAGGTCCTGAAAACCCTAAGGATGAAAGAGAAGCTAATGCTGCCTGCAGGGACATAAAGGTTGCCTGTCATTCTCATTTGCTGGGAGTTGGTCCTCGCCTGTTTTCACATCAGGACAATATAACCAACTTTATTAGTGCAAGTGGTTAGAGACTCTTACAACTCTCCTTGGACAGCAGCGACAGAAAAGAAATTCATTATGAAAATCTGAATCTTGGATCTGCTGCACACACTTTTCCCTGAGGTGGGATAATACCTAAGCATGCCTGCTGCTGGCATGACTGGCTCAGAGGCAGAACACAAATTGCAATTGTTTTATAACACTCGGGGACTTCCTTTGGAAGATAAAAATGCTTCAACTTATTTGCGTGCAAACTACATTTCCTCAGACATCCATCATGAGATTTCTTTCTTCTGTTTTTAATTAATCGTGGCTAGAAGATTGTATCACAGAAAAAGAAGCGTTACCATTTGAGAGATCAGAAATATTGGTTAAATTGAAGAATTTGCGAAAGTTACCCAGATTAATTAATACCTTGGTGGCCTACAAAATTCTTGTGAGTTCATGGTGGTAACACTCTGTGTTTCAGCCTGTGAAGTTGAACAGATACCTGTTTCAAAGCTAAATGAAGCCTCCATTTTCCTGGCTGCAAATCCCATGGAGGGATTTCCCAGGGTTTGCAGTCTCAGTGACTCTTTTACTGCTGCAGAAGTCGGCTCAGAGAGTCAAGCTAGTTTAAAGTGCTGGATGCTGTGGGATGTGGAGGAGGCCACTGGGCTTTGGGGCATGGGCATGCAGCACTGATGATAAACTTCAGCTCTGGATTCCCTCTCTACTTCAGCCATAAAATTGTCTTTCTGTATATGTTCTGTTGAATAACCAAATGTATTGTAATGTATATTACATGCAAGTGTCCAGAGTCTCTCTCCTAACCTTGTCTCAGTTTGAGGAGACATAAAGTAAAGCAAGACAGAAATAATAATGTATATTGCATGTGCTATTCTGTCATCAAATTTGGAATAGTCACATTATTTTCTCAGGTGTCTCATTCGCTGTACCTTGACAGGCATTATAAAAGACTGAGATAAACCCTTGCAAATCTCATATCAACCAACCTGTTTGAAGGGGCAAACTCGTGCTCTTACTTACCATGAACAACATCTTTCACGTCTTGTCCTTCTGGTTTTCCTTTCTTTCATATGTTGAGTTCTTTCCATCACTTTTCCTTATCCTACATGGTCAGGTTAACGTTCCCCTTCACCTGTGTTCACAGAGAATGCAAATAAACTGGAAGAAAGTGCAAGAGGGATCTACATCCCTTGTCCAGAGCATTACAACGGCTTCTGCATGCATGGCAAGTGTGAGCACTCCACAAACATGCTGGAACCGTCTTGCAGGTAACCCTTCTCCTACCAGCAAGGGAAGGCCACACACATGGAAATACTGACTTAGAGCAACACTTAATCTAGATCAGCTATGGAAAATAATGGCAACCATGGCCCTTTGTGCTACAAAATCCATCAGACTTAAATTATTCAACAAAGTCCCAGAAGTGTATTGAGTTATGAACAATGTTAATTGACTGTAAAGCCATCCAGTAACCTTCAGTTATATTTAGATGTGTTTTTAAAAGCCCTCCACAAAGCACTCAGACCACGCTAGGTGCCCTCCTCAGCCTGAGGGAGAGGTGCTCGTGGGGCAGAGGTGGCTGCTTCAGCAGGAGGTGATTTTGGAGGAGGTTTGGGCAGGGAGGAAGAACATAATGAAAGCACTGGAGTGCTCCTGCAGTGACTGCCTCCCTGCACAGGTGCAGATACTGTATTTGAAGTCCACACAGTGGCCAGGTGGCTCGAAAAGTATTATTATATGTGAAGCATCAATTTCTTGGGACGCTAGGACGGGATGCAAAGATACAGACCAGACTCTCCCCAGGGCAGAACCTCAAGCCAGCTCCTCCCAGCTCACACAAAAAGCCAGGACACATTTTGTTCTTTGCAGCTTCTGCATTTTAGGTGCTCCATTCAACTGGAAAATGTCCTTTCCTCAAGGTGCTGGCAGCTGTGGGAATGCAGGAGAAGCAAAGGGAGGAAGCACAAGGCTTAACCCATCAGGGTTAGTGCTCCACTCACACCTGAGAGGAGCCCAAGCCATCTGTCTCAGTCCCTGACAGTCGCTGCTGCCATTGACCTGGATTTCCACATCTTGCTTGGGCAATTAAGGGGAAACAGGGCAAGAGCTAAAACTGTAAAAGCACTGCTTGGCCCCAGAATCACAGAGCAGAGTGGAGATGCCAGGCTGCAGGATGGGAACCGGTGAGCAGTGCAGCAGGCAGCATCGGGGTGGATGGCTGCAGCATCAATAGAGGGGTTTTTTATAGCAACCAGACAAAATGTAAATGATGTATCCACTTTCAGGAACATCTAATCACATTTCATATGGAGCCTGGATGATTGCTTATCACCTCCTTAGGGGTAATCTGCATAAGGAACCACAGCTCAATGGCTTTTCACCCTCCCCCACCTCCCCAAAGAAAGGGAGAAATCTCAAGTATGTTGTGCAAGGAACTAAATGGGTTCTCATCACAACGTGCAAGTAGTTCCACTTGAAGCCAGTTATGTCGTGGTCCCCTGGGCACCTCCTGGCACTCTCACAGTGTTGTTCACTCTCAGAGACCTTGGTGACACTGAGGATCACAAGTCTTCCCTCTCAGAGGTTGAGCACTCATTGATACTCTCTCTGTGGGAGTCCATTCTTCAAAAAAACCCCACATAAGCTTATGCTTCAGCCACTAATTTATTTTTTTTTTCCAGATACAATTTTTCCAGTATTCTTTGAAAGCAGCAAGTATAACGAGAAAAAAAAATATTTTTTTATTTCAGATGCGATGCCGGCTATACTGGACAACACTGTGAAAAAAAGGACTACAGCGTTTTATATGTGGTTCCAGGTCCAGTACGATTTCAGTATGTCTTAATAGCAGCTGTGATTGGAACCATCCAGATTGCTATCATCTGTGTTGTAGTCCTTTGTATTACAAGGTCAGTATCTCTGGTGCTTTACAGTAGAAAGAGAAAATACTTTTGTTTTTGCTGCAATGTGCGCTGATTATACCGATTTCTGCAGTGACACTGCTGATAACAAATGCTGTTTAATTCACCAACAAACAGAAGATATCATCTGGTCCAGCCAGCCAGTGCTCCTTCATTATTATGACTGAATTTTTACTTCCATCTTGATCAAACTTAGGTAGCAACAGTGCCTACAGCAAATGAAGTTCTCTATTTTGTATTCAGATACTTGGACAAATATTGTTCATATAAATAAGGGGAATATAAATACAGCAGCTGGATCAACACTTAATAAAACTAATCATATCTCCATCTGGTTTCCTTAAGGGCCCATTCCCTTAGTCCTAATCAGGCAAAGCATACAAACTTTTAAGCCTGCTTGCAACCCTGCTGATTAAATGATTTCATTAGGCTTGAGTGCATGTTCAAAGGCAATGCACATGTTTTAGGATCTTCCATATATGATGTACTTGGGTTTTTTTTTTTCTTTAGTGAGGAGCAGAGGGTTGTGTGAATGGAAAAAGGCCCAGGGTAATTCAGAATGAGGGGGGTAAATGCATTTTTTCCCTTCCATGTGCTGCTCTACTCTCCCACTTGACTGTTTTACTGTCTCTGGAAGGGCTTAGGGTGAGTTCTGAATGTCAAACATCTACAGGCTTCTGTTAGAAATCACAAGGTTAAATTAATTCAGCTAGCAGCACTGATAAATCGCTCTTTTAAAATTATTTTCTTTTTAAAATAAAAAAAATGCCAGGTATCATACTTCCATATAAAATAAAATCTCTATTTCAGTCCCTATGTTGCATTACCTGGCTGGAAGACACGTGTAGAGCATTTGTTCCTGGAAAAGACAAAAAAAAAAATAATAAATCCTTCTCTGGCCTAAAGGCACAATACAAAACCTTCTTTGGCTTAACAGAGTTCATCACCTGAATGGCAACTACCAAATGAGGCAGTAGATTACAGGAGGTGGTATTCACAGAGGTAATTCAAACAACCAAAAATACAGCTTGTAGTGAGAGAAAGAAGGTGGTGTAGTTAGTGATAATGGAATAAATGTGTATTGTTTTGTCAAGTGACTCTAGTTTTGTCACCTTGATGCAGTGAGCAAAGTACTTTATCCTGAAGAATGAAGACAGGGAGCTCTGAGTGATCCAGTACTGTAATGCAAATTACCCATCACACTGTTTTCATACAGAGACTGTGCCTTTTCCCCCACACTTCCTAACCAAGTCAATTTATGATCTTTTGACTTTTTTCTGTAATGCATGTAATTACTGCAGAGCGTCCTCCATCCCAGTATAATGATTTGAGATACATTTGCAAAAGTGTGCTCTTAAGTGGCCCAAGAGAAAGGCACATGACAAGAGAACGTTGTGGCAGCATATGCATAAGCAATTGAGTTTTTGAAGTTGTCTGCTTTGGAGAACCTGACTGTACTGGTTTGAACTCCACACCCCGAATTCTTCAAAGTGCTGAAATCACCTTGCCAGGTTCATGGGAGAAAGAAGGAAAACCTCACTCAGAGGGCACTACGGCCAAATTCTTTGCTGCTCATTTCAGTGCAACTTCAGCTAATTAATTTATCAAGAGAATGTGGTGCACTGCATCCATTTCAGCCTCACAAAACTATTGTAATCTTCCAGCTCTCATTACTGTTGTTGCTCCTAAAATTTTACCTGTACTGTGGTGCAGATCTACGTGGGTGTTTTCCATTGCTGGAAGGCTCTGAGCAAGTCCTGGGAAGTTTTAGGGCTGTTGTTGCACAGACACTTTAATCTGAATAAATGGGCTGCTGAGGGCTGAGGCTTGCCCCTGCTCCTTCCTCTGCCTCCTGGGCACTTGGCCCTCCAAGTTGCCACAGTTAGCATTTCTGTAGCCACACAACCAACAGAGTCAGAAGATGGACTCAGCTGAAAATGCAACTAGCAGAAGTGATGGTGATTGGGGTTTAAGTGCCTCTGTGCTTGGCTACTCATCACTAGTGCCAGCAATGGGAATGAGTTTCTGGAGTGGAGGAGCAGGGAACCAGAGGCCAAGAGGTAAAACAGCGAGGCACAGTCTGCCCAAGGACTTTCAGCTTAGAGATAAGGCAAAAAAAGAAGCAAGTGATAAAGGTAAAGGAGGATGGCAAATAATACAGGTATGGCCTAGTGTCATAATGATTCTCAGCAGTTTTCTTTACAGCTTTGCATTTTTAGTGCTTCCCTAATGTTTAGTCACAGCAGCTTATTTATGTGAAGAAATAACTTGATTAAAAATGAATGCATAGCGTGTTTTACCTGCTATGAATCACATTGTGAGTAACTCGAGCTCTCGAGCAAAGCCTCAGTGGAGGGAGGGAGGAGGGCAGCCTGTGCTCCAGTACTTGGTTTACATCGATGTAGCTGCTGTGTTCATAAATGAATGCACCCCACACACAGTGCACTACAAAGGACTTTTGATTAAAGAGTTAAGGACCAAGGAAAACCTATCACTCGGTTTTAGCAGATGATTAAGTCTCAAAAGCTGGTTAAATGCCAGTGCCCCCCTTAAGAACCCCTGCTGCACTTTAGACACAGCCCACCTGTAAATGCAATAGCATTGTGTGTAAGCAGCCTGGGGCCTTCTCAGCCGTGGGTAATGTACAATTGAAACATGGGCATTTTTGGTTCAAACATGCTTTTTCATCATCTTAATTGGAGTAATCTCTACATTTGAATTGATCTCCACCTTGAAGTGACTATGTAGATGCTGTCAGTGTTGGTTTGGGAAAAGTGTCTATGAGATGTTCATCTCCTTGCTCCCAGCTGGAGCAGTTGATACCCACCGTGCTATGACCATCCTCATCATCCCCCAGCCACCTGGCTCCTCCATGTTTCATAGAAAATCAGCCTGGTTGTGCCCACTGTGCCCTGGTTCCCTAACCCTGCTCCACGTGGCAGAGTGCTGGGGCAAAGCAGGGCTGTAAATCCAGATGCTGGGAGGAGCCCTGGGTGTTGGTGGGGCTGTCCCAGCTGGTGGAAGTGTCCCTGACCGTGTCCTGCAGAGCACCACGAGGTCTCTGGGCAGGAGGGGCTGCTTGGGGACAGTGCCCAGGAGGCTCTGGGTGTGCACATGGCACACAGTGAGCCAGCCCTGAGTTTGCTAACAGCAGCTCCCTGACTCACTCCCAAAGTTTGATGGCCTTTTCAGGGAGCTCGCAGTGGATAATGAGTTTGTCATGAGATCACAGACCAGCTGCAGTCTGCCTTAGCTCAGTAATGAAAGCTCTGCCGTGACCCCCGAGAGCACAGGAGATGCAGGCTGGTTTTTCCTGGAGTAATGATAGCAGCCTACTTCACTGCTTCCCAGGAAGGAGCAAGGCAAAATATAGCCCACAGCCATACAGCTCCTCATGAGGGGGTGGTCCTGGTGGCTTAAAAGTGAGGCAAGTCAGGACAGTCTGACCCATATTTTGCTAGACACTTACATAATTGTATTCCAGCATTTTTTTTAAATGCTTCCTAAGTTCTTATGCTCTTGTTTAGCCTTTCAGTTGACGTCACAAAACTATAACATCACTCCCATTCAACAGGGTGTGGGGGGAAATGACCTTCTTTATTTTGAGGGGTCAGTAAAAATCTATTTCACTCTGTTCTGCTCTTAGTTGTTTGACTCAGAGCTGCAGGCTATAAGTGCTTTAAGCTCTCACAGCACTGAGGTGGGCTCTCCCCAGTGCATAACCCACAGGGTTTCACAAGGTGCTGCTGAAAGCCCTCCTGTACCAGAAGAACAAGTCAGCCCCATACAAAGGGAATGTTTTTCCATGTCAGTGTGGTCTGAAGTGTTGTGGACCCTCTTCCCATGCCACTCCAAGAGGGTGTTTCAGTCTCTCTTGTGCAGCTGCCCACAGTTATTACCATAACCACCCTTGGCTTTCAGCTGATTAGAACGTCCTGTGGCCTCCACCTGGGATTAAACCTCTCCATGCTTTCTGCCTGAGGGTGCCTTTCCATGAGAGGGAACCAGAAACACACCATTAGCTTTCCATTAGGGGGAAATGTAGTATTCCTACAGCAGGTGAAAGGTTGAAACGTGCCCTTGCTGAGACACCAGGGGTTTGCCCCTGCAGCTGTCCAAAGGAATGTCAGGTTTGGGGCTTTCCAGCACAATTGCTTTCCACACCAAGGCAAGCAGCCATGGCACCTGTAAGTAAAGGAGCTGTTTACTCATGGGCTGAGCATGGAGCATTTCCATGGAGACTCAGGGGACTGGAGACACTTAGGGCCTTGGAAAGGCAGCCCTTGCAGCCACTTGTAAACACTTCACAGACCTGGGACACTGGCCAGGTGAGTGTGGGGCCATCCTGGATCTTCCACCTGCACCTGGCTGAAAAGAAATCCATTATTTAAAGCTGAACAACACAGTGCTGTTGGGATCGTTGTGATGCAGCAAGAGTGTCCAGTGTTAAGGAATCCTGCCTTAATTTTGTTCACAGTATGTTTTGGGGGTTGTGGTGGCTTTTTTTTCTTTTTTTTTTTTTTGTGGTGTCATTGCTATTAGCCAGCCAGTTTCATTCCATTGAGGAGGAAGCAGACTGAGGGCTGGAGGATGCCCCTCTCACCCTTGTGTCCCTGCTGCCACCTCTCGAGCAGATGTGTTGCCAAGAGCCGTGTATTCTCACAAGTCTCTTTTCCAGGAAATGTCCCAGGAGCAACAGAATCCACAGACAGAAGCAAAACACAGGGCACTACAGTTCAGACAACACAACAAGAGCATCGACAAGGTTAATTTAAAGAGCGCATGTTTCCACAATGGCAAAACTAACTGCAGAGAGCTTGGACTACAAAATACAGTATTATAGACAAAAGATTAAGACAAGATCTACACATGTTGCCTTGCATTTGTGGTAATCTACACCAATGAGAACATGTACTACAGCTATATTTGATTATGTATGGATATATTTGAAATAGTATACATTGTCTTGATGTTTTTCTGTAATGTAAATAAACTATTTATATCACACAATATAGTTTTTTCTTTTTCATGTATTTGTTATATATAATAAATACTCAGTGATGAGAAAAAAATTGCCTTTCTTAAATTTGCTGTATCTCATAGCTGTGTATAGTCTTGGGATATTGTATATGGACACTAACAAATCTCTTTTTTTTTCTTTTTCCAGTTCTAGTGGCAATTTTGAGTCTACTGAACTCAGTAGTAGGGTTTTGAGTTGGTCCAAGATCAGCGACAATTATGGATGTGGGAAAGGTGAAGAATAATTTAACCTACATTGAGGAGGGATAAAATATTTCAGATCCGGAGTCAACTACATTTCATCAGCCTTCTTCTCCCATGCCATCTATCTTTACTCTCCCATAGCTTAGGAAGTCTTTGCCTTCTAAATTAAATCCTAACCGAAGGGGAAATGGAAATTCTCGGTAACCGCAGTGAGAGCGTTGGGGGTAATGTTTCCATTTGGGATGGAATTAGGTGTCTGTCAAGGTGAACCCTACGAGAACACTTTGCAGAATCTCCAACTCTGGTCACTGGAGTGAGTGAAAATTGCTTCTCACTCTTGATTGAAAATTATTAGGTTAAAAAAGTTAATAACATAATAACAGCTGAAATGCCAGTCCCATTTGCACCTCGTGAACATGCTGATATAATTTATTTTTTCAAAGAGAAGGTGAAAAACACTCAGAAAATACCTTATGAATAACTTCATGGGTGACCCTACTCCATTAAATGTAATGAACCCAAATGCTGGCTATACCTCAGGAAAATAAGGGCATGTGTTTTGTCACATCCACTTGATGGACAAGATGCAAAGTCATTTCTGTGATAGCTGGAACTCTCCAAAACACATCCTTTCGAGAAGGTAATTCCACTCTAGTTTGTGCTGTGAATTTTGAAGACTGCAGAGTGAGACTGAAGGGCAGAGTGGGGTAACATCACTGCTGCTGCATAACATCCACTCCACTAATGGAGTGCCCGAGCTCTAGTCCCACTGAGCAGCAGAGCTGAACTAAAGAGCCCTTGTGCCAGCAGTCACTGTGCTGCTGCTCTCCACAGAGACTCTGCCAGGCACAACGTGCCCAAGACAAGAGTTAGGAGTATTCCCCACCGTCATCACCATGTCAGAGTCAGACCTGGGCTTACCTGGGATGATGTCTCATGAGTGTGTTTCCATTTCCTGCTTCAGCACCCATCTGGTCACTCACAGCAGTCACCACCAGCCCCAGCAGTGACAGCCCACCCTGCCTGGCCTTCAGACATGGGGCCAGTGATACTTCTACTCTAACACGACTTTTGGTCTTCCCCTCCCTACCCCAGCCTGCTTTAAAGTGAATCCATTGCATGATGTTCACACGGTCTCAGTTTTTGTCTTGTTCTGGGTTTCTTGGCTTTTTAAAGGTAATAAAAGGTGATTGGCAAGAGATGCTTCCAGACACCTGGTCTGTGCTGATTGATGGGAGTGGGAGTGGTGCAGATGATGGCACAGGGCAGCTCTCTGGCACTGGGGTGCTGGCCCTGCAGGGAACTTCTGCTCCCTGGAGCCCTAAGCTGGGCCAAGGCAGAAGGAGAGGGGTCCAGCCATCCCCTGTCCTCAGCCCTCACCCCAGCTCTTGGATCTTGGAGCTTTGTTTTCAGACTGGAAGAGTGATAGAGTGGGGCAGGAGTGCACAGCAGAGGTTGTGGGCAGGTGTGATCCTGGCTGGCTGCACCCAGGGATGTTTCCATGCTCACACCCACAGCAGAATACTCCCTCTCTATCCCAGCCCTTGCTGGTTTTGTATCCCACGCTCCAGCTCAGCCAGGTGGTCTGACCAGGAGCACAGGCCAGGCACTGTACAAGTTTGGTGGCACAAGATCCCCTCTAGGGAGACCTGGCAAGCTCTGGTAACTCATGCCCAAGTGGCATTGCAGTGTCCCTGCTCAGCCCCCTCCACTGCTACACCTGACACAGTGGTGGCTGTGAGGATTAGGCTGAAGCAGGCAAACGTAGCTCTACCCTGCAGACACCCTCCCATGCTTTGTGCTTCCTGAGCAAAGAGCTGGAGTCTAACAAGTGCCAGAAACGTGTATTTTGAACCCATTCCAAATGTCAGTCCCCCCACTGGGACTATCAGGTCCGGATTGTTTATTTCGGTCGCTTACATTAGATAAAAAAAATCAAATGTTGGCACGTACACATTGCCATGGAGCTATAGCAATAAACTTAATTTAAAGAGGCAAGGTTTGGCCTGGGCAAAAATAGCACAGCATCGTTTAGGAGTGAAAATAGGAGTCCGACACACTGTCTCCAAACTTCCCAACATGATGAGCCTGGCTTTTACTGAGCAGTGGCAGATTTAATCCCCAAACAGCCTGCATTTGCCAGGTGTCATTAGCTGCATCTCCAGCTGCAGGGCCTGTCACAAAGCCTCACACCTCCCCAGCAAGGCCAGTGTTTAAATACCTGCTGCAGGCAAAAGGGCAGAGAGGAGAAAGGGATTTTTGTTTTAACACCCAGGGGGCAGGTCCTGCCTCTTTAGGTCTTCCAAACTTAACCTTCAGCATGCTGGCACAGGCACACAGTCTGACAGGAACAGTGTCTTGGAGTTGTACCTACAGGAATGGAGATTTCTAGCAAAGACATTTGCAGAAACTGTGCAAAATACAGCAAATTTGGAGATGTGGATTTTGCCTTTACTGAGGGGTCTGAAAAATGTGTGTTTGTCAGATCCCTGTGCTGGCCAGTGGAATGACATGGAAATGTCTGTGAAGTTTACCAGAAGATGCAGGGGGGTGGGCTGGGCACATAAGGACCCAGCCAGGCAAAGCCATGGCCGTGGGGATTGTGCCATGCACCAAGGCAGAGCCCAGCTCCTCCACCTGGAGTCACACAGAGGGGTGAAAAAGTGCTCCTGTTTGTTCTCAGTGCATGCTTCAGCAGCACAAGGTCTCTTGTGATGCCCATGGAGATAGACTCAGTCCTTGGGGAGGGCAGTAATTCATCTATTTGGGCTGGGTTTTTTTGCTTGGCACTATGGCAACAGCAAATAACCTCGACTACCAACACTCACTTACTTTAAAAACCACACTAAATTACCAAATGTGCAAAAAACACTAAAAAGATCAGTATTCCACACTCAATGTAATGGCTTTGGGGCAACACACGTGGCCCAACAGCCTGCAGTCACTTGCTGGCCTAGCTGTTGTTTTACCACAAGCCACACCAAAAGGTATAAAAGGTAAAATTAAGAGGTAAAAATAGGACTGTTGGCACACCCATTCCCTAAGGAGCAGCCTGTCACATTTCTGAAGCACAAAACCGTGTCTTTATTTTGTATTTTTCACAACAGCATCCTGACCTCAGCCCTCAAAATAAAGCCAGGAGTGCTATTGGCAGCCATAAGGAGCTCACCTGCAGCTACCACCCTGACTGATTGCAGTGGTGGGGCGTTGTGACACACACCTCACCTTTCCCCACCCCAAATGCTGCATGACAGGGCAGGCACAGCCCCATGCCTCACCACCACGGTGCTTCTCCTTGAAGTCTGATGAGATGTTCATTATCAGTCCCTTTCATCCAAAGATAATAAGACATGATTTACAGAACGTTACCATTACAAAAATATTATAATTAACGAAGGGATGCTGGACACCCTATTCTGTTTGCCTTCACCTCGACAGCAAAGACACTGGGGCAGGTGTGCACAGGCAGCTCTGGTTTTTGCAGAGGTTCTCTGTGCCAGCTGTGATGGTGGCAGGGATGCCCAGGTGTGTCCCATGCCCAGGTTAACCCAGCGGGCAGGGGGACACGGGTGCCGTCTATCGCCGCCTCCTATTTTCCAGAAGCAGCCCTCAAAAAAAAGCCTCATCTTCAAAGAGCTCTCTAAAGCTTCTTTGAAAACAAAATGATTAAAGGCTATCTTCCCTCTCATCCGACATCAGACACATCGCACGCCGCATCCTTGCTTTCACCCCTGATTATGCATGCAGCTTTTCCCAGCTCCCGGTTTTGCGTCGGCATGGAAGTTACAGCCCCGAATTAAAAGCGAGGTTCATTACTGCACATCAAAGCTGGTGCTGTGCCTCGGCCAGCCTGGCCCTTTCTTTAATTTATGGGTGCTTGGCCAGGCTGCAGCTCTGCTTGGAAGGCGTCTACAGCCCCCACAGGTTTGTAAGGCAAGCTGAGGGTGTCTAGCACAGTTGGCGGGGCTTTTCCAGAATAATCACCAACCTCAACTGAACTTGAAGGGAGATGGAGAAACACTGGGCCATTACATATTAAGTTTTCAGAGTAATTTAAAACTACTCTTAATAACAATGTAAATAATAATATTAACATTTTATCTGTATTTCTGGTCTCGATGGGCCACAGCCTGGCTGATGGAGCTTCTTATAATGTGCTCTGTTTGACATGGAAGCTAAAAATCTCATTTTTTTGCCCCACACATACACAAAGCATCTGGGATGCTGCACCCTGACAGTGCCACCAATACAGCCTCTGCTGGCACCTGCAAGCAGGAGGGGCAGAAGGAACAGGCACAGCAGCTCCTACCCTGACAGCCCTTGTGCTGATGCTTTGCTTCCAAATGCTTGTCATATTAGGTGGCTTAATTTATTTTAGTTTCAGTTTAATTAACAGTTTTGTCACAGCAGGAGGGCTGTTAAAAACAGAGATGCATGTAAAAAGAAAGGAAAAAAAAAAAGCAAGATTTTTGTCAACTTTTCCTTTTTCTTTTTTTTTTTTATTTGCCGTATTGAATGTGAGCCACAAGGCAGTAAAATATTCCGCAGTCTCACACAGCAGCAGCCAAGCTGCAGAATAAAAAAAAAAAAAAGCATGTGAGGAATCTGCTCTATAATGCTAACGAGGTGGCACCTGCTTTGTCAATAAATTTCACCCAGTCCAGGGAGCACGGACACCCAAGGAGGAGCCTTGGGGTCAGTCCCTGTCCCCTTTGGTTTTCCATGGGCTGTGGGAGCCATGGTGCAGCCACTGCCACCAAAAGGTGAAAAACGTTAAGAAAACGTAGTAACGCCTCGTAAACTTGCCATGAGAGAAGCTTTAAAAGGTTTACATCGGGTCACTTGGAGAAGAGGTGTAATTATTGAGGGTAAGATCCTCTAAATGCAGCAGCATCATCCCCCCGTCTGAAATCAGCCCCGACGGCAGCGCGGGTTTCACGGCGCAGCTTTCAGCAGAGCAGGGATGAGCACAGAGGTGAGCCAGAGCCGTGAAATGTGACCTGAATTAGCGGCTATACATAGTGCTTCCTGCATGTTTTACATTCTCAAATAAAAAGGATCTTCTTGTTTAATGGTTAATAAAAATGATTAGTGCTCCCAGGGCATGGATCCTGACAGATGCAGACCGTGCTGGAGGGACCAGCTACAAGCCACAAGAGAAGATGAAACCAGTGATTTTGGGTTTTTTTTCCCCGTGAAGTACATCACCACCAGCATTTGCAAGTTAATTTGTAATATAATTATATGTTGCTTCTGTCACAGAAGCGCAGCACGCGTGTTGGGCCAGCAGCCCTGCCAGTGCCACAGCCCAGCCAGCACTGCTGCAGTGAGGAGCAGCCAAGAGCTGAGGGGCTCTGTGTGTGTGCACACACAGATATGGACAGGCTGGGATGTATAAATGCACATATGGACACATACGTGCACCTATGTGTGTGTGTATACACACACCTGCCCTAAATACACACTCATATACACACATGGGTATGCCTACGTACTCACGCACCTAATAAATACACATGCACATGTAAAAATGTGATTTTATATAGAAAAATAAAATTATATTTGAGTGATGGATACTGTGGAGAAGAGCCAGCTGACTGCCCTGCAGCACGTGCTGTGTCAAAGCCACAAAGGATAACAGGGCAGAAGAGCTGTGCCCTGCCGAGCTCCCTGTGCAGCTCCCAGCTTCCTAACAAAACCAAAACCTGCCATGCCAGCCTCGTGGCAGCATTACAGCCTCACTCTGAAAGCCAGGTTGACTCTTTTAAACATTAATTTATTATTATTGTTGTTATTTCTTTTCATGGCATGCCATGTAGAGGATTATGGTCAGTAATAGTTTTCCAAGAAATAAAGTCTATGAAAGTAATTGTTAGGAACAAGCTGCAATAGCAAATTGCTTAGTGGTTGCCATAGTGCAGCAGCACAATTTGAGATTTAATATCATT